AATGTATTTTATGATTTTTGACCTAATCTCTAGGTCTTTGAGACACTTTTAATTTGTGTATTGTGTGAGATATTTTCTTTTCTTTTTTTTAACAAGTGGTCATCCAGTTTTCCAGCACCATTTGTGAAGAGGCTTTCCTTGCTCTACTTCACGCAACTCCTTCGTCATGTATTAAATATCCATATATCTGAGGATTTGTCACTGGGATCTCAGTACTGAACCATTCATCTGTCAGCCTGTTTTATTCCAGTACCACATTATTTTGATTACTATGTCTTTTATAATGTAAAGTCAGGAAATGATGTGCTTTCCAACTTCTTTCTTTCAGCATGGCTTTTGACTATTTTTTCTCCCACTTTATTTAAACACCCTGGTTTACAAAGTTGCTCATGATGATTTGTTAGAGGAATTCAGTATTCCAGCACCAATCCCACTACCAGGCACTTTCCCTCCACCATTGTTTTCCCAACCATCCTTCAAGCCTGGCATTGTTTTCCCAACCATCCTTCAGGCTTGCCCTGGTAGCAGCCCAATAGTTCATTTCATATTGCTTGTTAACACTGAATGACTAGTGGAGTGATCAAAAATGCTTAGGTTAAAAAAAAATTGTGAAAATTGTTGTATCTCACTATGGGACATTAAGTCCTTGTCTGAGGGTTTTCTAAGCTTGTAAATTAAGCCTTCTGTGTTAATGGAGATTAGCCGGCTTCTATGTTACTTTCCCATTCAATCTGGTGTGCTCCTACTGAGATGTTAGTATTGTAGAGTTTGGAGATGTCACTCCAGAAAGTCCACAGTATTTAACTGGACCATCTGGCGGGGGCATGGCGGCGGCTGTTGGGGTGTGAGTGCGGTTGCTGGGGTTTTGTAGGGCAGGAACTTGACCTACCCCTCTCTCAGGATCACCCTGGAGATCTCAGCAGCGTCTGGGTATTGGAGAAGAGATTTTTTTTTTTTGTGTGTGTGTGTGTGTATATATATATATATATATGTTTGTTTTTTGCTTTTTGGGTCATACCCGGCGATGCTCAGGGGTTACTCCTGGCTTTGCACTCAGGAATCACTTTGGTGGTGCTCGGTGGAACATATGGGATGCTGGGAATCAAACCCGGGTTGACCGCCTGCAAGGCAAACCCCCTACCCATTGTGCTATTGCTCCAGGCCTAGAATATATATTTTTTGAGATTTTTTTTTTTACATTTTATTTTCATAAAGTAGTTCACAATAGTTCATTACAGAGAATATTCAAACACTCACCCCACCAGCGAACATTTTTCCACCACAATAAGAGGAAAGTGTGGAAGGTTGTTGTATTTCATTCTGGGGCCATGTAAGCCCGTATATACAAGAATACAAGCAAGTGTGTTAAAACCAAACACGTGTGTGCTACTTTAGGTACATCAGTGGGCTAGAGTGTAAGAGGTTGCATGTTCCAGGAAACACCGCATGGCTCTCTTCCCGGAGTTTTATAGTGTCTGGATCTTGGCCATTGGTGAGATTACATTGTGCCTGGGGCAGTTTGTGGGTGTGACTGCCATGCTACTGGGATCTGGGTGGAGGAGGCCCAGTCCCAATCCAAGCAGGCTTAGAGATCTCAGCCACATACCTCATACCTCAGTCCCGCACACTTGGGTTCCTCTGTCCTTTCCCTCATGGGTGAGGCTCATCTGAGCGTGCGGAGTGTGGCCTTGAGCATGGCTGTGGCTGGGTTCTGGAGGTTTTCGGCTGCCGGGGTTCTGCTTGGGGCGGGGAGGGAAGCTCAATCCACCAACCTCTGTTGTGCCCTGGTGAAGACAGCCTGGCACGGGATCAGGAGATTCTACCTTCTGAATATATTTTAATAGTCAAAGGCATGTATACTTTCATACAAAAATTACTTTTTTCTGACAAGTGACAAAGGGACAAGAAATAGAGAGTAATGGGCCCTTTGGTGGTGGGGATGTGTGCTGAATCTTTACACTGAAACCATAAGCTCTGTTGTAACCCTATTAAGATAAAGATTATTTTATTGATCTAGGGAAGCAGCTCAAAGGGCTGGGGTGCGTGTTTTGCATGTGAGACCCGAGGGTTCAGTCCCTCAGCGCTGCATTATCTCCTGAGCACCGAGCCTGAAGAAACCCCAGAGTACCCTTGGGTGTGACCCCAGCCTCCCCCAGTTACTGAAGAATAAGTGTTTTTAGTGTAAATTAGTAAAGACGTGAATGACCACCATTGTAAATTTAGTTAACATTGTCACCATAGCTTCAGGGTATTCTCTCTCTCTCTCTCTCTCTCTCTCTCTCTCTCTCTCTCTCTGTGTGCGTGTGTGTGTGTGTGTGTGTGTGTGTGAGAGTGAGTGAGTGAGTGATGAGAGCTGAGATCTATGCTCAGCAACTTTAGAATATGTAATACAGGATGACATGTCAAGCTGTAAGTTACAGGCTCTGAGCACCTGAACATTAGATCTGAATTCTTACCACCAGATCCAGCTTTGGTTGCTTCCTCCCTCTGGACCACACTTAATAGTGCTCAAACTCAGGAAATGTTCCTCACTCTGTACAGGGAGCACTCCAGATGGTGCTCAGGATTATTTGAGCTGGCAGCATCCTAACCCCTGTGCTCTTGTTTTGTCCCGTTCTCTTCCATCTGGGGACAAAAAATACTTTGTGTATTATGGCATTGAGCTTGCAGGGAAGATGGCTTGTGCCATCATGTCATCTTCTGACTCTCTCACGAGACCATATTCCTAGTAGTCATTTTTTTTTTTTATAATTTTTTGGGAGGTGCTAAGGTTGAAACCGGGGCCTCATATAGATGACACATGTACTATGGAGCTACATCCCCCGCGCCCCCCCCCCCAAATAAAATTTTATACTGTGTACAAGTGTTTAAACTATAGCTGAATTAAATCTCCATACCCCTTCTTAGGAGCAATAGCATAGCAGGTAAGGTGTTTGCCTTGCACGTGGCCAACATGGTGGACCTTGGTTCGATTTCTCTGCCCCTCTTGGAGAGCCCAACAAGCTACTGAGAGTGTATTGCCCGCACGGCAAAGCCTGGCAAGCTCCCTGTGACATATTCAGTATGCCAATAAAATAGTAACAACAAGTCTAACAATTTGTTGTGAGACGTTTCTGGTGCCTGCTCAAGCAAATCGATGAACAACGGGAGGACAGTGACAGTGACCCCTTCTTAAGATTTAGTTATTAATATTTTTGTTGTATGTGTGTGTGTGTTTGTGTGTAGCTGACCAGGAGACCATATAGTGTGTTGGGGACAGAACTTGGCTGCTTTCAGGCACAGGTGTCTTACCTTCTATACTGTCTACTGCCTACTGTCTACTGTCCAGTCCTTTGAGCCTGGTTGATGGCAGAGGAGACTAACACGTAAGAAGTCAATCACACATGGACTGTCCAGGCTTTAGGGTTGCCTAGGCAGCCATGAGTGAGCTCACAGGCTGGCCATATTTTTTCAATACAGTATCACTCCCACAAACTGGTTCCCAAAGTGTAAGCCATTGTTTTAAATTGACAGAGACCTTAAGGAGAGTTAGTATATTGGCAGTCAGTAGGTACGTGAAGAGCAGAAGCTGGGGTATGTCACATAGCTAGTCAGCAAGCACCCCAAAGTTGAGGGTCAGGTTTTGGCAATTTCCTATCATTTTTTTCCCTCCCTGTTTACTCTCTGCGTCGAAAAGACCCTAAACTTTTATTCTGTTCTTTCCTGGGTGCATTTTTGCTTGCCCTGTAATTTATTCTTTCCTGGGCAGATTATATTCTGAAAGATCTAAACTCGCCCAACCTTGGTGTTACTATTAGATTTCCCCGCATTATCTCATTTACGTCAGTGTCTTCATTTTTCCCTTTTAAAGCATCCGTTCAGGGCTTACCTGATGCATTTGCTTTTATCCCTTTAGTCTCTTACAATTTAGAGTATCGTGTCTACCTTTTTTCTTTAAGGTGGATTATTTTTAGTGCGATCTATTTGTCTTGTGGAGTCTCCACCTTTCTGAAGTGTTTTCTTTGTTCTGTGGCCTGCCTGGCAGTGCTCGAGTGCTAGTCCCGAGTATGTTCTTGGACGTTAATCCTGGCCGTGTGCAGGGAGGCACATGCAAAGTGTGTGCTAAGACTGTTGAGCTATTTCTGTGACCTGGATTTGTTTTCTTTTCTGGGGGGAGTTGGGGCCACACCCAGCTGTGCTGAGGACTTACTCCTGGCTCTGTGCTCAGGGATCACCACCTTGTGAGGCTTGGGGAATCATGTGGGGTGCCAGGGATCAAGCCGGATCAGCTGTGTTCGAGGCCAATGCCCTACCCACTGTGACGTTTCTCTCGCCCATCGATAGGTTTCTTCGTGGTCTTCTCACTTGTTCCTTATCTAAACCCCTATTTCCTATGAACTGGATTCAGGCTTGAAGGTTGAATGAGATTTTGGTTTTTTGGGTGTTTGGGTCACATCTGGCAGTGCTTGGGGGCTATTCCGGTCTCTGTGCTCAGAATTTACCCTTCTGTGCTGGCAGACGGTCTATAATGCCAGGGATTCAAACCCGTGTCAGCTGTATTCAAGGCATGACCCTACATTCTGTACTTCCTCTCCGGCTCTCAATGAGATTTTGGTAACGGGTTGTTGACAGAACTTAATTAGTGGCATCTCACATCATGTCAGGAGCCAGTAAGTGGTGCTGACTGTAAGTCACTCACTGCCGTGGTGCTGGTTGTGGAATCACCTGCATGGAAAAGAGCTTTTCTGTCTGGCAGGAGGGTGGGGTGTGTGTGTGTGCGCACGTGCACTCGTGTTTACTGTCACTTACCCTCTGGTAACTTTCACTTGTGATTTCCACCTCTTTGGACCTCTGGGCACTGCTCTGAGTGACCCCTTCGCATAGTGCCAGAAGTAGCCCTGGGTACTGTTATGTGTGTCCCTAAAACCCAGAGCTGCACCACCTCCCCTAATTTTGTGTTTGATTAAGATAATTTTGCTCTTTTGATACTCTAGTAATAAATTGTTATTTCACTTTTACAGAGTGCTTGTGATTTTATCTTTTTTTTCTGAACTTCACCTATTTTTTCTGACTCTTGGATGATGGATTAATAAGAACACTGAATTTCTTCGGCATATTTCAAGTTGGTGACTATTGAATTTTCACCCTAGTCCAGCAGCACTGCTGCTCACTTAAATACAGATGAATGAAGACCCCATTCGGGAAGACCCCTGGCCAGCGATCCAGAGCTGATGCAGGTAGGCAGTCTGTTCTGTAGAAACTCAATTAAAACGGTTCCAAGATTAAACATAGATTGTTATTTGTTCTTGTACTATTTGTGATTTGTACTATTTCACATGTGATATGCATGTCAAAAAACAGACTTAGGGTTTTGAATGTCAGATATTATTAAATTTTGTGTGTGTGTGATTTACAAATGTCTGTCAAATTCAGTAAGTGAGGATTTAAGAAGCTTGTAAAGGATTTATCATTTCTGTTTGAAAGAATCGAAAGGGATTTCAATTTGGTGAGATTGAGATATTATAGTGGTTCTTAGAAAAACAGGTGTTTTGAAGGATATTTGGAGGAAGTGAGTATTTAATAGAAAACACGTTGATTCTTGTTTTTATGGTTGGCAGCTAATACAACTTGAATAGAAATTTGGACCACCAGATGTTTATCAGTTCCCCAAACAATGAAATGTTACAGGCTATGCTCTTAAAATGGTATGTGGTGTTTCTTTAGGACTGAGATTCTTCCAGAAATCCATTCTGGCCTTGGGAAGCATTTATTATAACCCCTAAGATTGAGAAATGAGTCAAAAAATTTTTTTTTCTTTACATTAATTCTGACTCATTTCTCAGTTTAGGGGTTGCCACGCCTGGCAGTGCTTAGGGATTACTGTGACCTTGCACTCAGGAATCACTCCTGGCTCAGGTGACCATATGGGATTCCTGGTATGGAACCTGGATCAGCTGTGTGCAAGGCAAAACACCCTACCTGCCGTACTATTGCCTCCCCTCAAAATATTTTAACCTTACAGAAATGTTATATGTATGATTTGGGACTGGGGGAGGGGAGGGTGGGTCTTCTATAGCAGGGTTTAGGGGACCCAGGGCCTCTCCTAGTAATTCTTGCCCATCTGGGTCAGCAGTTGGATGCAGTGGTGCTGGGGCCCCATGTGCCAGTTCCCACCCTGGCTCCCCTGGTAGTGCTTGGGAGGCTGCATGGTGCCAGGAATTGCAACGGGGTCTGGGGCATGCAAGGCTCCTGTACTGTCTCCCCAGCCCTAGAACTGGTGTTTCCATTTGTTTCTGTGGTGCTTGGGGGTCTTTTTTAGAGGACCCTACAAGACTTGAATGTTTTGTTCTGTTTTTGAACCGTACCCATTGGGGTTTGGGCCCTGCTCCTGGCTCATTGCTCAGGGGAGCTAACCTGGAGTTAGGTGCAAATCCTGTACTCCAGTTCTTGGAGCTCTCTCCCTGATGGTGAGGTTAATTTTTTTATTTTTATTTTTTAAGATCTCTTTCAGTTCTTCCTCTTGAAAGGCAATCAAGATTTAACTGTGGAAAGATTGTAGTGAGATTAGAGTTGGGATGTGATGACGGAAACTCTTGAGAGAGTTGACCTAACTCAGCTTTCTCTGGACTGTCCTGCTTTGTTCCGTGTCTCTGAGTTTGCTTTATGGGCTTTACACATTTTTATGATTTAAAAAACAAGTATAACTGATAAAGTATTAAGTTAGTTTCCGGCATAGAACATCGTGGTTTGACAGCATAATCCCATTTGTTTTTCCTGTAGTTTTTCTTGCCTTTGTGGTCTAAACCACAAAACCATAACTAAGACCTATGCAGGAATCTTACGGTCTAGGTTCTTCTCCTAGGGATTTATGACTTTATGTCTAATAGTCACATGGTGTTTTATTTTGTGTGTTTTTGTTTTTTATGGTGTAGGATAGTGGTATAGTTTAATTCTTTTTCTTGTGGCTGTGCAGTTTTCATAAGTCTGTTCATTAATTCTTTTCTAATTGTGTGCTCTTGACTGTTCTTTTGGTTCGTGAATTGGACCTCTCTGGGCAGTGCTCGGGAGTCACTCCTGGCATTGCTTGCAAGACCATGCAGTGTCAGGGATCGAATCATGCTTGACTTCCCACAAGGCACCTGCCTTAGCTCCCGTGCTGTCTCACCGGCCCTATTATTGACATTTTTGTCATAAGGTAATTGACCATATATGCCTGGGCAGATTACTGGGCTCTGTTCTGTTCCGTTAATCTCTGTGTCTTAACTCCAGATCCACACAGTTTTGATTATTAGTCCTTTGCAGTATAATTTGAAATCAGAACATGTGATACCTCCAGTTTGGTTGTTGTTTGGCTTTGGCTTTTTGGCCTTTTGTTATTTCACTCTTTTTGTAGCCATAATAGTGGCACATTTCAGTCTTTGTTTTGGTCTTGGGGGCCACATCCACTGGTGCTCAGGCTTCTTTGCGGTATGTTTTGAGCTTTAGTTTCTCTCATGCAAACTGTGGATTGTTGTAGCGTACCTGTCAGGGTCGCTGTAAGTATGAAATGCATTTGGGTGTGTCGAATGCTGAGCTGGGGGCCTGCCCAATGTGGGATTTTGTAGAGGCATTCTTGTTAGTCTTGGCGCTTGCTGTGAAATCTTTTATAGCATCTCATAATTGCAGGAGCTGCTTCCACTCAATTGCTGACCAGTGAAACTACCCAGGTTTCTGTCATGATAGAATAATTTATTTCCCAGAGTATATTTTATGTGTCATTCTAAACTCACTCCCCCCCATTGTTTCTAAAGTCATCCTCCTTTTAAGAGAGATGATAGTTTATCGAAGTGGTATGCAATTTGATATTAATTGAGTATCAAACTAAATGGAACTAAATCAGAAAGAGAGAAAGAGTACCTTTTTATTTGATTGTTTGGGTTTTTTTCTTTTCTTTTTTCTTTTTTTAATACGTGATTTCAGGAATTGAACCCAGGGTCTCCCCAGGATGTCACATGTTCTGCCCTAGTCACGGCCGTGTGCAGCGCTGGAGCAGTGAGCCCTGCTGTGTGGCCTCCTCCAGGGGAGTTGAGCCTCTTATACTAGTCTTTATTTTTCTTTCTTCAGTTACATTTTTTCATTCTTTCTGAGGGAATGTTGTTTTGCAATCCTTAAAAAATAATTCCTGTGAACATTTAAAATTTCTAGTAGCCACCCCTGCCAGCTACTTCCTTGTTATTTTTTGTTTCCTAAATACAAGTAGCTTATAGCTTAGGTTATGCCTTTCATTGAGGAGAAGCTTTTCTTGGGGCCAGAAGATAGCTCAAAAGTCTGAAAACATGCTTTGCCTGCAGGAGGCCTGAATTCCCCTGCACTGCTCAGCTCCCCCCAGGAATAGCCCCAGAACATGGTAGGGTTTGACACCTCTCTCCCCAAAAAACAGACTTAGTAACAAAAACCTTTCTGTGGTGATGGCGGTGGTGTGTGTGTGTGTGTGTGTCAGGGGACCATATGTATTCAAACCTGGGTTGGTCACATGCAAGGAAAGTGCCTTATCTGATGTACTTTCTCTCTGGCTCCCTATACGTTCTTGGAGCACAGGAATAACTCAGCAGTAGAACATCTGCCTTATAATGTGACATCCATGAAGCTGCAGTTAGACTTCCCCCCCTCCCTGAGACTTTTTTTTTTTGGGTGGGGGACCCCCAGCAGTGCTCAGGTTGGCTGAGTGCAAGGCTAGCGCCTTCCCCGCTGTACCATCTCTCTAGCCCCACCCCTTATACCATGAGTATATTCCCCGTGGTGCTGTTAATGAGTCCTGGTGTAAGAACAGTGTGGAACAGTGTGCAGTCTGTGGTACACCATGACTAAGTGTGTGCCAGCTCTGCAGTTCAGTGTGCTGACTTTCAACAAGCACCACAACCAAAAGTATGTAACCCCCAGCAGGACCACAACAAAAAATTGCGTGAGTACTGCCACTAAGTGAGCATTCCTAGCAAACTTTACAACCAGGGCGCAATCTGTCGGCACTGCAGACACCAGAAATCAGACCAGAAAAACCTTTTCTGAATGTGTTTGCTGTAGGTGTCTGTTTCTAGTGTTTGTTTCAGCTGGAAGTTTCCTGGCCTCTAGTTGATCCTCTAATCTAGGGAGGCACAGAAGGTTGCTTGGGGCTGTGTGTGGGGTTTTGTGATCTGGTGGATAGACTTTGGAGACTCCCATGTGTCAGTATTTGGGAGTGTGTATTTCTCTAGGGAGAGATTTTTTTCAGGTTTCCTGTTACTGTGGTGAGAATACTCATCTCATGTGGATGGAGTTTTCCAGAAGCCGCCCTTTTGGATGTCAGTGCTGCTCTTAGGACCACAGACTGGATTTAGGAACTTGGCTGAGTCTTGGCACTCTCCCGGGGAAGCTTGCTGGGAGGGAGTGACCCAAGGGTGAGCTCGCACAGAAGGCTGAAGGGTGTTGAATGTTGCAGTGTGAGTGGCATTGGTGAAGATTCGAATAGAAATGAGTTGCTGGAACAGACTCTCTGGGCCATCTTTAAGTCCGTGCAAAATTAAGTTAAAAGTTGGCTATTTGGCAATGTACGAGACTGCCAATGTACGAGAGACTGAGCAGTTAGAGCAGCTTGAGTGCGTGTAATTTTTCATGCCCTTTGTGATTTTCTTTAGTTTAAATAACTGCTTTGTGAATTATGGAAGTAGTTTTTTTTTTAATTTTCAATTTTTTTCATGGAATAGTTTTTAAAAAATTTTCCTTCTATTTATTTATTTATTTTCCCTTTTTGGGGGGCGGGGACACACCCAGCAATGCTCAGGAGTTACTCCTGGCTTTGCATTCAGGAATTACTCCTGGCAGTGCTTGGGGGACCATATGGGATGCCGGGGATCAAACCCGGGTCGGCCGCGTGCAAGGCAAACGCCCTACCCGCTGTGCTATCTCTCCGGCCCCTCATGGAATAGTTTTTAAATTTTGATTTAAAATTATGATTCTTTTCTCTGCAGCCAGTTTGACTCAACAAAGCGATGTATAGGTAAATCTTAGTAAAGTGTTGTGAGTTCCTCATGTGAGTCATTCCCTTTCAGTGACTTCCTGCCATCAGTACGCAGTGATTCATGCATGTCCTGCTAGTGTCTTTTCAACTACTCACGTTGGTGACCAGTCCTTGACACTCGGTAGGAGTACCTCAGGGCTCTACAGTAGAAGAGGCTACTTGTGGATGTGCCACATTCGGTTATTTTGGCATTTGGTGGTTTCT